TGATAGTTTGTAAAATAAGATAAGGCATATAATTATTGGCTTTCTTTGAAAATATTTACAGACTTCAGTCACTTCAATTTTCTTAGTAATTTATATTAAGTGCACTTTTACCTTTACAAGGAACTATAAACATCAAAAATGTTAGTTTTGCAAAGTATCTTGAAGTTACTAAAAATGAGTAGTAAGAATATACATGTATGTATATATAATAATGAAACACTATTCATTCTTTAATAAGTTCAATATTAAGCTTTATATATATTTAAAATTGTATTTAAAGTAAGGAAACACAAGAGGAAATACAGATAATGTGAACATTGTTGGTAAATATTGAATGACTCCAAGGGTCCCCAAAGTGGGTTTTAAAATGTTTTTCCCTTTCTCACTTAACTCTTCATCGCTCTTGTTACTATATTGCTTCTTTGACAAGGCAGGTAGCTACCCGCCAAGCTTGACTACAGATAAAATAAATCTTAGAACCCCATCTTTAATTGACTTCAAGTAGCACCTGTACTGCCACTAATAGGGGGTAAAGGTGACACAAGATTTCTCCAGTGACAATGCCTCTCTATCTTGCCCATTTCCCCATCTCTGTCTTTATGCAGAGGCAGAAGCACCAGTAGACAGGTGCACAGACAGCTTAACATCGTGCGAGGAGGTATTTGCATGGTAGATACGTGTGCTAGCGAGAGCATGCTTGTAGGCAATGACACCACGTGAGATGATGGCGTTTTAGCTGTCACTCTGCTTTGAATTCAAAAGCTCTTCCTTTGAAGCCCCTGTGCTTGGAGTTAATGTATACATTTGTTTCCATTCTTAATTTTATCCCTCTGATTTTAGTTTCATTTGGAAAGTCTTTTTTGAGCCCTAGATACAGTCCTACTTGTTCAAGTGTTTTACTTCCTGACTCTCTTCCGTAGCGTCTGTCATATGATCTTTTTTTTCCCATCTCCTCTGGAAGTAGTTTCTCCTATTTCTACTTCAGTCCACTGGTAGGAATTTCATCATTGTTGCCTCCTAATAGCCATTTTCCCACCCTTTTATTCATGATTTTTCCTGTCTTCTTTCTTAACATTGTTGTTGTCAGGAGCCCTGTGATCCATGCCGATTCCCCGTGACCCTGTGCACAACAGTGTAAAGGCCTCCGCCTCCTGCGCCACCCTCCCAGTCTCTGTCACGTTTGAGCCCAGTGTTGCTGCCAGTGCATCCATTCATCTCCTTGGGCACGCGCGCGTCTTCCTGTGTTCACGGACCTTCCAAAGTACATGAAATTAAGTTCTTGCCGTCCTGAATTCTAAGGAGCGTCTGGCTGTGCTTCCACCAAGATTTAATTATTCTCCTGGAAGTCTGTGGTATTTTCAATATTCCTCACCAACAGGATAGTTAAAATGCCTCAGTTCTCTGGTCTCTTGTATTTATTGTGCAGTTGTCTTGTGCATAAGAAGTAATTGAAAATACCTTGGCTTGGGTCAGGTGCACCTTAGTCCTTACAATGACAGCTTTGCTCTTTCACACATTAAAGAAGTCTTTCCCATCGCCCTTCTGTTCCTGGGAGCCTCCATTTGTTGGGCACCCATGTTGCTTCCTTGAAAGTGAGCATTACTTCCTCCTGCAAAGAGGCATAATAACGGAGTCTTGCCACCAAAAGTAGTCAATGTCTCTCTCCTACTTTATGAGGCATTTGTCTTTGTTGTTTACATTGTGCAGTAGTTGTTTGTGAAATAGTAGCTTTTACGTGTTACTCTTTTATAACTTCCCCACCACAAATGTAAAATCATCCAAGTATTCTTCTGTGAGGGTGTAGAGAAAGACACCCTAATACATATTATCTATATGTTATAATACAGGAATAAAACAATACTTTGTAAGCATATTTGCAGTCTCACAATTCAGTAAGGCATATTTAGAGTATTTGAAGAAGCCAATATCTCTTTTTCACTTAAACCGTATTTATGTGTAAAAATTTTTCATAGGAAGTAAAATTTATCAAGGGCTTAGTTCTGGGAGAATTTTTAAAAATATGGTTTCCGTGACATATAATTCACATGCTGTGTGATCCAGTGGTTTAAACATATTAAGAAGAATTGCACAATTATAGCCACTATCAATTTTAGAACATTTTCTTCTTTCTCAAACTCATTATTAATAGCTCCCTGTTATCCCCTAGAATCTCCATGCCATAACCCTAAGAAACTATTACTCTAGTTACTGTCTTGATACATTTACCTATCCTAGATTTCACGAAATAAACGATTGGAAAAAACAACAACAATAAAACATAGAAAAACCACATGGAAAAGAAAGCAGAAGCTAAGAAAAACTAGAACAAATTTAAAATGGGTCAAAAGGGAGACCAAAGGACAGTGTCAATTGTTAACCTTTCTACATCTGCATTAGTCCACTTTCCAGTGCACTTGGTCTGATAGCAAGGCTGTTCACCTCCCTGATCAGTGGTCCGAGGGGGAGAAGTTTTTAATGGATCAAAAATGTGAAGGTTCAAAGCATTCTTTACCCCAGGAAAGCCATGCAGGAGGCAGGAGGTTCCTTTGTTAATAGAAACCTGATTTTCAGTGAAAGTTGCTTTGCCTTTTTGTCCTAATTCTGCCCAGAAAAACAATTACAACTTGTAAATTTGTAATATGGAAAACTTATCATTGTCCCCTGCCCTAGATGATGGCATAATTGGAGGTTTTTCTCCAGCACTGTCAAAACCATGGAATGAGAAAAAAGGCTCAGGTTAAAGCTTTAAAGCTTGAGCGTACTCCTGGTTCTCAGTCAATCTAGTTATTGATACACGTTACTAATAACTTTATTTGGGGGTTTCCTGTGATATTATAATAAATAGTGGGAGCAGCGGGTATTGTTGGAGGCAGCGATAATGATGTTTGTGAAAAACTGCAATGAGCAGTTGGGGCAGACGGAATCTGTCATCACTCAGAGAAAGCACACTAGTGGAGACATTTAATTAACGGCTCTCCGATTCTGAGGAGCTCAAGAATTTCTCACCAAACGGTACAGCTCATTCAGAATCTGAAAAATCACTCAAAATAGCTCATTCTTCAGTCATGGCCTGCCTTGTTTTGAGCATTTTATTATAGATCACTGTGTAGTGGGTTAGTAATGGCTAGCCTTTTGAAGGCTCGTTCCTAAATAGAATATTTGGCAGCACATTGAAAGGTAAATTTTGATTAAAAAAATTTTTTTTCACAAGCTAGAAAACACATAATGTCAATACATAGGTTTGTAAATAATGTACATATTATTAACTTTTTTTATCCCCAAAGCATCAATAACTTCATCTTTGCCATTCTGAGAATTCAATTTATAAATTAATTAATGTTATGTCAACATGCTTATAAGGTGATATCACGAATAATAGGGCCTATCCATTTCTTATTTTCTACTTTATTTAAACGTTTCCTTATGTACATTTGCTTTGTAAAATTTGAACTCCTCTAAGTAGCTTATTTTGAAACTGAAGATTATTATCAAGGCTATGCTTTGAAAATGCACTGTGTTTCTTGAACCGTGCAGGTGTATTTGGCAATCCTGTTATGGATTGTGGGCGTGGGTGTGCTCTGGCACCCTGAGAACCAGTATGGAGGAGAACTGTTTTGCCATGTAAAGTACTGTTTTCAATCAGACCTGAACTAGACCAGCATTCATTTGTAAAGTGGCTGGCAGAAGGTTTGTGCCTGTGATTACGTGTGAATTGTAGTAGAAACTACAGAGCTAGGAGACACTTTAAAAATGATCTACTCCAGACCCTCATTTTGCTTACAGACTTGGGGAGGTTATCTAGCCAATTAATAATGAAGAGACCATTAATTAACCATCTACCGTGAACCAAGTATTATGCTATAATCTCTCTACAAAAGTTTCTCATTTATCTTTGAAATAGTCCCATGAGGTAGCCGGTGTTTCCCATTTTACGTAATCATACAGTTCCTCATTCCACCCCCTCCCTCATCGAGACCACTACATCGCTTCTAAATAAACAGCTTGAGTCCAGTGACCTGCGAGAGCCAAGCCTCACAAGTTTTCCACCTTTGACAGAGTGTGCTCTTAGCCCTTAGCTATCCCTTGTTGTCGTGGGAAGTACTTTAATTTTCACTTCTGAGGGGTGCTGTCTTGAGCAGGTTTTGCAGTATATCCGGATGCTGCATGCTCCGTCCGGTCTGCCTCTGAAAACCACGTTCACGCTTCCCTCGGTCTGTCCATGACAGCTCTGGCCTTCCTGTTGCGCAGGCCAAGCATCGGCGGCTTCCTTGACTCCTCTTCCTCGCTCAGACAGCGGTCCACCAGGAAGCACTCTGGCTTGACCTCCAGCGGACAGCACATTAACAGCCTGATCATTTCCCAGCTTCACTGTGGCCACCTGGTCCAATGGCCATCATTTCCTGCCAGGATCATTGCAGTGGAGCCCAGTGGCATAGCGGTTATGCTTTGGGCTGTTAACTGCAAGATCAGCATGTCGAGACCACCAGCAGTTCTGCGGGAGAAAGCAGAGGCTTTCTACTCCTGTCAAGTGTGGTAGTCTCAGAAACCCACAAGGGCAGCTCTGTCCTGTCCCATCCGGTTGCTGTGAGCTGGAGTCACTTTGATGGCTGTGAGTCTGAACGAACCTGACAGGACTTAACAAAGGCAGCTCTCCTCCCACCTCTCGCCTAGTCGTTTTCTCCAGCCCAGCCAGTCTCTTTAGTTCTTTCAGCAGGCAGGCTTATGCCTACCTTTGTTCCTTGGCACTGTTTTTTGTTGTTGTTTTGGCGCAGGGGTGGTGGTGGGTGGCATCAATTATGGTTTTTAAATGGAACCTTCTGATGTTAAAAAGTAGTAAATCTTCATTGGAATATATACATAAAACTGTAAAAAATTAAAAATAAACAACTGTGGAATGTTCTCCCTACACCATTACCCCTCCCTTGTTTCTACTTAATGTTTATTGACAAAATCGTCCACTAGAATCAGTAGTTATTCAGCTAAGCCAAATGTTCATTGATTTTTTAATTCTACTTAATCAACACATCAACTAATTTCCATTTCAGGTTCACTCTGGGGCCAACGTTCTCATCTGTGGTCCTAATGGATGTGGGAAGAGCTCACTGTTCCGTGTTCTCGGTGAAGTACGTACAAAGTGGCTTCAACACGTAGTGTCCTTCTCATAGCACATGGTAACATTCACAACGGCCTCTCTCTCCCTCTTGTCTCGTTCGTAGTTATGGCCTCTTTTTGGAGGACGTTTAACTAAACCCGAGAGAGGAAAGTTATTTTATGTGCCTCAGGTAAGGCCTTGGCTTAGTCGTTTCACAATCTTTGGTTTTAAGAATTCGCTTTTGATGCCTGTCTTTACTGTTCTCAGAGACCGTACATGACCCTTGGCACACTTCGAGACCAAGTGATCTATCCAGACGGAAGAGAGGATCAGAAAAGGAAGGGCATCTCTGACCTGGTAAGGGACTCTGTACGGTGGACCCACGGACGGAATTACTTCCGAGGCTTCGCTTTCTTCACTTAGCTCTGTTAGACATCAGGTAGTATTCTCACCTGGAAGATGGTAAGCACGTCATGCTTCAGTGTGACACATCACATATTTAGCTGTGTCTTTATACCACGGGGAACCACTGCGTGGTACAAAAGTGAATGCCTAGGTAACCAAACGATTGGAGATTTCAGTCTCCCCAGAGGCAGCTTGGAAGAAAGGCCTTTCCCCAAGCCAGCCATTGGAAGCCCTGTGGACACAGCAGTGCTCTGCTGGCGAGGAGTCCTCCCCAGTGTACTTCACCCTGGGGGGGCGTTTTCTCAGGTGGTCATTGTGGTGGCAATGGCCACACTTTGTCAAGGTTGGTGTAGTCAAGAACTGAAAGGTTCAATGCCACATTTTTGCTACATTTTTTTGCAATGTGTTTCATAGGTGTTGGCAAAGAATTATAGTGCTTGTAGTTTCAGAAATAAAATAAGGTGGAGAAAGCGGGTTTATGTTAACCTTGGCATCACCTTTAACCCTTGTTTTCTGACAGGTATTGAAGGAATACTTGGGCAACGTCCAGTTGGGCCATATCCTGGAACGTGAAGGCGGTTGGGACAGCGTTCAGGACTGGATGGATGTCCTCAGTGGTGGAGAGAAACAAAGAATGGCGGTGCGGACACTCTGCAGACATTGCACACATACACATATGCAGCCAGTTGTAAAAAGTTATTCTTCTAATCCAGTCATTTGATTGATTAAGGCATAATACTTATTTTTAATAATTCTTACCTGTGGCTTTGTTTAAATGATCATAAAAGTACTCCAGAATGGATAACTTGTGCTTGAATTTGGAGTTCTGAACTCTTCATGAAACCAATGGCAGGACCGTGAGAACACGAGCTGCAGCCCGAGCTACAGGCAGGGTTTGTAGCACATCAGTCCTGGGCAATGGTGGGCCTGCCGGGGTTTGGAGATTTCTGTTTCTCAACCTCCCTCTGCCTCTCCTTCAAGCGCTCTCCTGATGGAGTGAAGGTATCAGACATGAGCAGCTCCAGGCCGACTGTCATCTGCATTCTGTTTTTGCCTCCCGCCTCCACCAGTAGGGCCCTTGTTCTGGGCTTCACTGCCTGCTCCCCAAAGTTACTGAGAATCAGTACCATCGCTCAGGCAATACAATGTTTAAAAATTAGAGTTTTTTGGTACTAGAGGCCATCATTATTCTGAATATTAAAATGTGGTTAAATTCACTACCGTGAACTCCTTTAGTGTTTGTTTATAACTCAACTTGAGCTCAGGTCAATGAAATGGTTGAAGCTGTTTACCAGTAAACATTTCCTGTGCATTATATTGGCCTCTGTTCAGGAGGATATTAAAATAATTCAGCCCATTTATATAGTCTCTGCTTCTGGAAAGCAGATATTCTTAGAATAATTTCCTTGCCTGTTTACATGTGCAAGCCTAAATATTTAAAGTAGATTTATTTATTTATTTATTTTCTTTCTCTTTTTTAACATTTTATTAGGGGCTCATACAACTGTTATCCCAATCCATACACACATCAATTGTGTAAAATGCATTTGTACATCGTTTCTCAAAACATTTTCTCTCCATTTAAACCCCCAACATTAGGTCCTCATTTTTCCCCTCCCTCCCCGCTCCCCCCTCCAAAGTAGATTCATTTTGACTGTCGCTTTGGGCTGCACATGGTTTATGCAAAGTGTGTCTCTCTACGTTTCAGATGGCCAGGTTGTTCTATCATAAGCCCCAGTTTGCCATTTTGGATGAGTGCACGAGCGCAGTTAGTGTGGATGTGGAAGGCTACATTTACATCCATTGTCGGAAGGTGAGTGTGACCGCTTCCAGCATGCAGGTCCATACCTCCCCCTCAGTCAGGTGTGTTCCCAACCAGGTACCTGTCCAAGGAGAAGATGCTGGAATATTATGCCTTAAACAAAATTACTCCCAAACTATGCTATCTTGCCTTTTTAAAGATTTTCAAACTGATATTTAATAACGGAGTAAAAGGCAAAGAACTATCAATGGTTTACGTACACAATTTTCTAGCTACTTCTTATGTATGAAACAGTAAACAATCATTATTTAGATCTAGTTCCCTTTATTTCATTGTCTGTATTTAGGGGTTAATAAGCTTATCTTTTCGCCATTTTTTTCTAATAACTTTACTCCACTCTCACTTCATTTTTAATTGAGAGAGCTTGGCAGTTTTTGTACTTGTTTTTTCATTAGCTTGGGCAATATTTTACCAAACTTTATTTTAAATAGGCTTGTCTGGAGCTGTCGAATTGGGTTCCGCTGTATTTCCTTCTGTGAGGAGGGGCCGTTCCCAGCTGTGCACTGCTACATAGTACTGTTGATGCTTTCAGAACGGGAGTGCTATTTCCCAGCTGATTTGCAGCTTCTAAGTGCAAGAGGATTTTGATGTTTTTATTTTATTTATTTATTTATTTTTTGTGTGGTATTGTTTGAAGTGAACTTGTCGCAAGACAAGTCCATTTCAGTTCACTTTCCTCCTTTTTCCTTTAAGCCACTCAGACCACTGTTTAGGTTTGAGGGCTAAGGAATCTGGAGGGAGATTTTGATGTTTTTAAACCTCTTTTTGGAACCAGAATGTAAAACGTGTTGTCACACATCCGCGTAGTGTAAGCTGTTGTGCTCATTGTGTGGTCACAGAAGAGGAGCATCAGCACTGCCGGGCTGTTAGGGTCCAGTCTTGGGCCGCTGCATCACAGTCCACAGCGAGCGAAGCGTTCTCACTCTCACAGATGCACATGGAAGCTGCAGAAGCATTCGTGTAGTGGTGAAAGGATGAAGTTGCTGTATTCATCATCAGGTGTTTCTTCAATCTGTTTTGGCAGTTTTTTAAGTACCTGTCCACATTGGTTTGTGGATTTATAGCTGTGTGTCTTGTTGTCTTCCTGCTGCACTGCCCTTCAGCATTTCTCATGTCCACATTCTCAAGAGAGGACCTTTGTACCAAGCAAGCATGTGCTGCCTGCCAGCCCTTGACTGCCTGCTTTACTGCAGAAAGGACGCCTCGGGCAGGGAGGCCTAGAGGGAGACTTTCTTCCCACGGAGCCCGCCTTTGGGGTGGTGGATCGTAAATAAAGCCCGAGACAGTCCGTGCACAGTCATGGATAAAATGTGAATGTTAACCTTTTTGTTTTCAATGTGGATCTGTAAATCAGAGTGACTAAGCGAGTGTTCCTGATTTTGTCAACACAGTTGAGGAAGAGATCAAAACATTATTTGACTGTAAACCTTCACCCAGTTCATAATAAATAGTTTCCTTTTCTAAAAGGAATTATTTGAGTACTCGGGAGTATTGGCTAGGAAGAATATTAAAAATAGTTGACAAAAACTTCACTACAGAAGTGAAGGAAATGAATAAACATGGCCAACAATTTTCATTACTTTCCTAAAGTATTCAAAACTGGAAAACCCTTGAATTCCTTAAGTTCTGGATTCTATAGCTATTCAATAGGAATAGAAATTCCATAGGAACGCTGTGCTGTTCACTACCATACCCATTTTTCATCTGCACTGTACACAGCAAGCTGTGGGCTGCTACCTGGGGCCTGGGACCCTGCTGAGTGTGACCTTTTTGGAGGGAAATGGCGACATCTGTTGGACACGGTGTGAACAACCATGATAAGTTTTGGTCTAGCTGCTTTAGAAACAGAACCAGTTGGTACATTATTCTGACTTTGGGACACTGAAATTTTAGTGTACTAAGAGCTTGCACAATGAGATGGTTGGACAATTTCTATTTCAAGGTCATTTATGTGAAACTTTAGTCTGTATTTGATCCATTGCTAGTAATTATAGTTTCCTCTGATGTGCAAACTAGACTACAAATTCCTATGTTAGATGCAATTCTCTTCTAAAGAATAGATTCCATTTAAAAGAAAGTTCTTGAAACTTAAAGATTTTTCACGGTTTGGATTGGCGTGTTCATGAGTAGCAAAGTCCGACCTGTGCTCACCAGTTATTTATCTGAACTCGCTTGTCTGTCTCTCTCACTTAATAGGAGTGTCCCTAGATGTTTGATGCCTGAACTCTGCCCCGGGGCCCTCCTGGAGTGTTTTTATGTTTCCAAAATCTGAATTCTCAAACCAAGGCTTTTCATTCGGGCATATTATGAGAAGGAAATTGCTTATAGACAATGCTATTCTGAATTAATATTTACTGGTTTTAGCTTTTTAAACTTTTTATCATCCGTATACTTTCCTCACCTTTTTTGGTAATAAAATAGACAATATTCCAGAGTATATGTTTTCTGTACCAAGTAAAGTATTTTATTAATTTGGGGCAGTACCCGTTAGTTTTTATTACGAGGTTGAAGGCCCAAAGGTACCTTGCATTGCCTTAAGGAATTAGCGTAAGCTGTCACAATTTCCCCTGTGGACCATGAGTTTTAGCTGTTCGATTAAAGACAACCATCTAAACGAGGTCAGCATCTACGGGAAGTGCCGCTTGTCTGGTGCTGGTCGAAGCCTGACTTGCTTTCTTGCTCTTAGGTCGGCATCACGCTCTTCACTGTGTCCCATCGGAAGTCTCTGTGGAAACACCATGAGGTCTGTATTTCCTACATTTAACGGTACAGGCCATGCTGATAGGGTTTATTGACACGAATTTAGGTGAATGTGACTTTTAGACTTCTTGGTTCATGTCTGCCTTTTAAACCCAAGTTGGGCTGCAAACTGCAAGGTCAGTAGTTGGAAAGCATGAGAGAAAGATGAGGCTTTCTTCCCCGGTAGATATTTACAGTCTCAGAAGCCCACAGGGACCCTCTGCCCCCTTCTCTAGGGCTGTCATGTGTTAGAACTGGCAGTGAGTTTAGTTTCTTTGTTTTTTATAAATATAAACTTACGGGGGAAAGTTAGGTTAGTTCATTTTATGAAATGCAGTGTGACTTTCTTAAATATGATGGCGACTCTTAGTTTTGAGAACTACAGTGTATACTGATTCTTGTGAGCCACAGTAGTTCTACGAAACCTCCGTGAGCGCTGAGTTACTGCTTCCAGGGAGACCACAGGCCTCAGCACGTTTGTCTGTCAGCCAGCACGCTGGCGTGTATCATGTATGTTTACGTTTAGAAAACATCTTATTCCCTCTACATGATGGTCGGTTCTTTGGTGTGCTGTATAGTTTCATGGACCTAGAGCCCGTGGCCATCGGTACGCTAGCTCTTAACCTGCGTGAAGCTTACGAACAGGCTTTCCCTGCAGACCATCACAGGCTTCTTGCACTGAGGGCCACTCGGCAGGTCTTCTTCACTCGGGGGCTATTTTAAACAGCACAGAGGACAAATATGTGTAAAACATGACCCTTCATAGGCCAGACGTGCATGGTTCCAAAACGATTGCTGAAATGAGAAGGCAGAGTTTTGCTTTGTTTGACCCCAGCAGGGTCGTGTGTAAATCACTCAAATTTTTCAAGGCCCGACGCATGTCTACTGAATAGCTGTGCGGTGTTCTTGAGTGTTGACTTTGGGCCACAACTGTCTCTTGGTGTGTCACTGCAGTCACAGACACGGTGCAGCTAAGAATCATGAGCTTGACTCCATGTAAGCAGCCCCTCCTGCCAGCTTTCAGGCTACGGCCCGGGTTCCCGGAGACCCTGTTTAAAGTGGAGCGAAGCCCTGCGTGAGGCAGCACCATGCCCATGACTGGCTGTGGCTCAGAGGGGTTTGTTTTTGTCAGTTTTGTTGGTGAGAACTTAATAGAGTAAAACACACCAAGCTAAAATGTGCAGTTCAGTGACATATGTGTTGAGTTGCGTAACCATTGACAACTCCTTTTCCAAGTTTGTCAGTGAGTGATTTTTCAGAAGCAGGTGGCTGGACCTTTCTCCCAGTCCATCGCAGTGTGGACACCCCACCGCAGCCTGCGGAGTTAGCACCATTGCAGCATGCAAGCTCCGCTGGGAAGGAAGTGGTGGTTGCACATGAGGTGCATTGCCTGGGAATCGAACCCGAGTCTCCCATGTGGAAAGTGGGAATTCTGCCATGGAAACACCAGTGCCTCACTAACAATCCCTAGTTAAGTGCAAAGGCATTAGAAAACAAGCCAGCCCTTCTCAAGTTGTGGAGATGACGTAGTACGTAAACATTGACTACAGTCTGTATATCTTAGCACACTTCGTATGTCAAAGTAAACGTTATCATTTTTAATCAACCATTGACAGAAGGGAAAGAATCGTAAGGATTGGATGGCAAAAAGTTTGGGGGCAATGATGACATGTTTTGAGAAATGAAACTCATATCACTAATAATTTGTGTATAAATTATTAAAGAGGAAGCTAATTTGTTATGTAGACTTTTACCTTAAGCACAATAATGTGTGTATGTTTATATATATATATATATATATAACCAAAACTGACCCAGTGCCATGAATCTTGGCTCACAGTGACATTGGGACAGGAGAACTACCCTGTAGGGTTCCCTAGGCAGTCCATCTTTAGGTAACTGACTACCACATCTTTCTCCCTCGAGTGACTGGTGGGTTCAAACTGCCAACCTTTCTGTTTGCAGCCCAACACTTGACCGTCCTAGAAGTCAAGGCTAACTCACTGTCACCAAGTCCCTCCTGACTCCTAGAGTGGGGAGCGGAGCTGCCCTTGTGGGTTTCCAAGACGAAGTCTTCACGGGAGTAGAGTGCCTCACGTCAACTAAGTTATCATTGTGTTGTAATAAAGTAGAATTCATTAGGTAGTCAATATAACTTATCAAGATGATATTAATGAGCACAGATGTTTTATTGTTTTCTGGGGCACTAGCAGTACTAGACACAGTACAGTCTCTCGTCCCACAATCTACATACTTGATTGTACACTTACTCTGTCAAGTACTGTGCTGGCAAAAAGGACCCAGACTACTCACTGTCCGCCCCTCAAGAGCCTACCTGCTTAGATGGCAGTCTGCCAGCGATAAAAGGAAGACCCGCTCTGAAGTCAGCAAACCTGGGTCCAGGCACCGCTCTTCTGGGCCCTGGCTGCTTCCTTTGCATAATAAGGCCTGCTCCTCCACGTCAGGAAGGAGGAAGAGACTGCAGTCAGGGAAGTACGTACTGGATTGTAATGAGATCCTCTCCAGCTGTTGACACACTGGAGAGAGCTTGTCTGTGGACATGAACTCCAGCCATGCTGAATGGCATTCTCCTAACCCCAAGCTTGAAAACATAGAGAAAGGTAAGTGCTTTTGCTGGAAAATGGTTTAAGTTAAGACCAGTGCCCTTTTGGGCCAATGATTTCAAACAATAATTAAAAAATAATACATTTTCCTGTTCTGATGGCATAGTAGGCTTTTCCCGTTTCTCACGAATCGAATAAGGAAGTGAGTAGAAAGCAAAGCAGGTTAGCATGGAATTTTCCCGTGTGCTCGAGCCTTCGTGATTCTCAGAGGTTCTAGGCATTACAGCTGTGTGGCTGCACGAGGACTTCCGCCTGCCCCCTCTTTTCCAGGTGTCGACACGTGGCAAAGCAGCCATCAGTCAGGGCTAGTGGTCGTGCCACGGAGGAGGGCAGGAGGATAGGGCGGCAGAGCAGCTCAGGAACCACAGTGCAGAGAATGGGAAAAGGAAATCTTCTCTGCACGTTGGAAGCCCTGAAGTAAATGGGCTTTAGAGTTGCCGTGCTGAATATCTTCAGAGGGTGGGCTGTATTTAAAAACACAGCAAACCACAAAACTTCAGCTGGAGCCTGGGGGTGCGGCAGGGGCTCCGTGAAGGGACTCTGAGGGGGCGTCTAATGCTGAGCTCAGGCCAGCCCACTGGACACGTGCTCATCTGTGCTCCCGGCTTCCGTTCCTGTGCTGTCCACACGGAAGACTCTTATCCTCCTCATAAAGGACAGTACTTACGCCCACGCCAAGCAGTTCCATTCTTGTGGTTTTCTAGAGAGCCGGCTTCATCCTTTCGTGTTACCTTGGGGAATGTGTGTATACATTGTTGGAGATTTTAGTGGCTTAGATGATCATTTCCAATCATGTACTTACGCATCAGCCTCTACATAAATTCCTGACAAAAGCAGATGCCTGGTTGTTGATTTTCCCCCTTTCCTTCTCGCCCCTAGTACTACCTGCATATGGATGGCAGAGGCAATTATGAATTCAAGCAGATCACGGAAGATACGGTTGAATTTGGCTCCTAGAATCCGAAGAACAACCTGCCTCAATGAGATAATTGTTGATCACACTTGGGAAAACAGAGTACATTGTAAAACAAAGCTGAGCTTGTTTTTGTTTTGTTTTTAAAAAAAACAAACAAAGCAACAGATTAACTAGATCGAGAATAATTGAGAACACGTTAAAACATTTAATATTATATAGGATATTGCTAATGTGTATATGTTGGTTTAATTATTAATATGTACTAAGAATGCCCTTATTCTTGTGGTTTAAAACCTGCCTAAATTAAATTGGGCTTAAATCAGTGTAACCTGATTCATCCTGGGATGTAAACCATTTGAAGTCAGCTAATTTGACTTTTAGGGATCTCTTTTTTCCTTCAATGAAGAACCCTGTTGACCACGGGTCATCGCCTGCCCTGTTCTAACCAGCGAGTCTTGCGTCTCGGGTTCTCCTACCCCGTGCTCCGGGGAAACAAGCAAATCTTCACGTATGATTGGAACGCAGAACTGCATTTCACAGCAGCATTGAGGACACAGTGGTTATCTCATTCGCTGCCAGTTAGGCCTCGGAGTGCATTTAACTCCAGGATAGCCGTTCAGATTTAGTCTGGCTGAATTATACAGGCGCCCTCTCCAGCTCGTATTGAGCCGTTCTGAGGGTGCTGGTAGTGACGTAACAAAAGCCTAGTGCTTAGAGGGGTGGTCAGTGTGTGTCACACCTGATCTTCTCCCTGGTGGGGTGCTAAACCACAAAGCCCTGGCAAGGCCCAAGGAAGACCTTTACGTTTGTGAAGGGATCGGACCGATGTGCGTAGGCTGGACACCCGGTCACGAGGAGCTTCGTGGTTCTGTGGTGGAAAGCTTGCTGGGAGCCACGGGCTGCACTGCGTGGAGTCGGGCACTGCGCACGATGTCTCTCCACCGTCTTTGACTTCTTTTTAACGTTTTAAAACGTTACAGAATCAGTATGCACATGGGTGGGTTAGCTGTGTCCCAGGTGCTGCTTTATCTCGGTGAATCTTGAATAGCCTTTTTTATATTGGGGGTGTTATGCTGTGATAATGTCTGCGGAGAAATTGATTTCAGCTCACCAAACTGCCAGATATGACTACATGTTAATGACTTTGCACAGGGAGAACTGAAACTAATCAAAAGCCAGACATGAAATCAGTGTGATGAAAATATGGTTCAGAAAGGGGCATTGGATGTTATGCGTAACTTTTTTTTTGCTGAATTAATTGTAAGAAACACTGACTTCCGAAGTAAAACTTGATGTACTGACTGATTCCATAGTCCATAACTTTCAGTTTTTACCACTCGCTAGCAATCTTGTATACTTACTTTCTTTTCAAATTAAAAAAAAATCAGTTATCCTATACAACTTGTGCTTGTTTTGTTTTCTTTCCCCTGGTACTTAATACCAGGTAGTTCCTACAGTCTTGACTTGGTGGAGAGGAGGGGTTAACAGGCAGAAAGCCCTCTGCCCAACCATATCTGTTTTCAGAATGCTTTCCTCATGGGGGGGGGGGGGGGGTAACTGAGGAGCTCTCTGCCCAAGAGCACACCTCACTTTTCCCTTTCTTATTTCGCAGATGGGAAATTGCCCCCCCCCCCCCCCACACACACACACACACACACTGGGGATAGGGGCAAGACACACACACGCACACACATACAATGGGGACAGGGGTAAAACCCTCTACTGGAAAGACACCATGAAGGTTCTAAGACCTCCAATAAGCCTAGTGTTTCCAAAGTGGGTTTGATTAGGGAATTGCTTTTCCCACATAATTCCTACAAGCGTCTCCCTAAGTCCTGGGAAATGGTCGTTGGATGTGAAGCTGTAAAAAACGAGAACTTTCACCAGTGAGAAATACCAGGGGGCTCCTAGAAACATTTCATCTTTTTTTTTTTTATTCTATTTATCACAACCCCTTTTTTTTGGGAAGGGGGTCTCCCTTACATACCGTATGCCAAATGTATCACCCAAGTGTATCACTGTATGCCAAATGTATCACATCTTGGTTTTTATATGAAGAGACAGAGACTTGACCTGGTTGATTGCTGTGTATTGATAGAATGTGTTTTCTGTCCTTTAACATTATTACACTAATCTCTTGTGTGGCAATAGATCACTTTTTTTGCTGTATGCCATTATGTGAATACCAATCCATTGTCATCGAATTGATTCCAACTGTTAGACCCTACTTAGGGTTTCCCAAACAGAATTTTGGCAGACACATACCTCTTCACCCCACCCTCTCCAACTTAGTGACTAGTGGGGTTAGACCTCGTGCTTAGCAGCTCACCACCTAGCCATAGCAGCACTGTAATTTATTCACATTACTGTTGGTGGGCATTGGGTGGTTTTCAGTGTGGGGCTATTATGAATAGTCCTTTGAACATTCTTGGGCATGTCTTTTGGTGCACACGTACATTTTTGTAATGCAACCTAGTCAAGTTTGTTAGGTACTTTCAGTCTTCCATGTTTTTAATTCCATGACTGTATCTGTGAAAAGGAATGTATGCATTTGGATTATGACGATGGGAACAAATAGCGAACATGGACTGCCAGAAGTATGTCCAGAACACTCCTTGGAAGCAACGATGATGAGACTTTGTCTCAAGTGTTTTGGACATGCTATAAGGAGTTTCAGTTACTGGAGAAGGACATCGTGCTGGGAAAACTGGAGGGTCGGTGAACCAGAGGAAGACCCCCAACAAGGTGAAATGACACAGTGGTTTCAACGGGGCTCAAACGTGGCAATGGTTTTCTGTAGAGTCCCTGGAAGTTAACACTGACTCCATGACATGTGACAGCCATTTGAAGTGCATGAGTTTCCCAGTCGACTTATCGATACTTGGTATTGGTGTTGTTTTCACTTTTATCCATACGTGCAGCCACCAATGGCAAACCATTGTGGTTGAATTTTGCATTACCCTAATAACTAATGAGATGGCATTCCTGCTTGTTGACCATGTAAGTGTTTTCTTTTTTGAAGTCATTCATCGTCTCTCCTAATTTTTAGTTATCTTAAATGCAACATACTGGTATGAAGCAGGGAATCAATAGAGAGGTCTGAGGGGCCGACCCCAATCCCAACTACATGGACAGCTCCCCCTCCCCCCAGAATTCACTTCAGAGGACAGCACTGAACCTACAGCTCAGGGAGGAGGACATGTCTGATCAGAGCACACAGGAACAAATGAAGGGGGAGGAAGAGAGAGAGGAGCACACCCTGGCCCACCACGCCCTGAGGACGATATTCCTGCTCAGAGCAGCAAGTGCACAGAAAGGACCATATGGCTGGCCCCACTATGAGACATGACATCCCTCACTGACCCATAGTGCTATGGGGGACAACAATGGAGACACCGTGTGGGAATTGTGCCCAATCTGACCCCACCACACAGAAGTGAATCACTAAGGGCGTGCAGCAGAACAGCAAGGAGAGCAGAGCAATGAAGTCCCCAGGGAATACCAAAAATAGACTTTGGGGCCAGGCCGTGGCAACCCATCAGACTCGACCAGAAAGCACTTCTAAAGGTCAACAAACAGACCTTGAAGTATTTACAGGCTTTTCTCCTTTTTGTCATTTTTTTTCTGTTG